TCCTCTCCGGCACCTCGACGTCCCGGCGCGGCGCTCTCGCCCCCGCCCCCCGCCGCCCCATTGGCACGCACCGCCCCGCCCGGCCCCGGCGCTCACTGGGGCAGGCGCGCAGCACTCACATGGCCCCGCCCCCGCGCTCCCTCCCCGTTGGCTACCGAGCGTCCGGCCCGCCCTTAAGGCACCGCCCCTCCAGTCCCGGCCAATCCTGAGGCGGCGAGGGGCGAGCCGAGCCCTCGATTGGCGGCGCCCGCCCGCTTCCCGTGGCTGCGATAGGCCGGGGCGGCGGCCGGTCCCGCCCCCGGAGCGCTCCGGGCGCCGCTCCCCCCGAGCCGCCCCGACTCCTGCCCGGGCAGCGCCCCGGCCCRCGGCGGCTCCGCGCAGCCCCTCACTGGGCCTGCCAGCAGAGAGGCGGCCCCGGGAACTCTCCGCGCCCCAGGAGAGAGCAGGACCGATCGCTGCCGTAGCCGGGAATAAAACGGCTTTATGGGCACGCAGCAGTGTGGCTGAGGAACATCAAGGAAGTCTCCTGGCTACTGAGGCGATGAGGCAGCGCAAGGGTCCCGCTGCGCCGCGCCGTGCCCGTGCTGTCAGAGCGCTTCTTTCGCCCGTAGGAAGCGGTCGGAAAACCCGCCCTTCCCCCAGGCGAATAAGGGCAAATACTTGTGTCTCAGCCAGCTACACAAATGCTGAGATACCGCCTTTTTGCCAGAGATTACTCGCGTTGTTCTACCAACGCCAGCCGCCGGGCTTCCCCCGCAGAAGCAGCCTGGCTCCCAGGAAGCCTGCGGGGCAGGGCAGGGAAAACTGCCACCATCCCTGCGTGGCATATAAAGCACTTGGACTGCTCTGGCCTTTGGAACTTCACTTTGATTTCACGTACTTCCCACAGGCGCTAGGCTGCAAGGTTTATCACAACGCAAGTGACATTGGCAGGGAGGCGGAGTAATAAGATAATTCACACCATAATCAGAAAATTCAGCTTGTACTGGGATTGGCCAGGARCTCACTAATACAACAGGTCTTGTGGCTGGAAGTAACAATGTATTTCTAAACAATGCAAAGATCTGGAGCCAATGTTAATAGAAACAGTACAAACAACATTTTAATTGGTTAGAAAGTAACTATATTTTCTGTTAAAGTGCCTCAAAGCTTCCACGCTTGAAAAGAAAACAGAGGAGAAACAAATACATGTTAAGTGGGATAAAAAACACAAGATTCGTGAAACAGTATTGAAAGAATCCTGAAGTCACCATTTTCCTACTGTTAAACATAAGCCTATCATGCAACTACTGTATTATAATAAGCATAACCAACAAAACCAGAACTGAGTGAGAAGTACAGAGAACAAACGCACCAGCACAAACAACAAATGCACCAGCACAACAGTTGCAACAATTTCTATTAGGAAAAGTTCAAAGTTCTGTAACACACTTTCTACAATTATAGTTTRTCTGGAGTAAAAGGTCCCTCCTTTTACTCAACTACTTATGTCTATGTACTGCATATCTTTAAAACAGATGATATATGTCAACCTGAAGAAATCAAGTATGAAAAGAAAGCAGGAGAGGAAAAAAAAAATTGTACCCTGGTAGCTGAGAAGAGGTTAACTCTTCCCTGTAATTTTAAGAATTTTGTGGAGGATTTTTAATTGTATTTTAATAATTGTACCACAGTCTAAATGCTAGATGGTAGAACACCTAACAAGAAAAACAGAATTCATTGCTACTGGTGTTGTGCATCATTTCATATAATTGGCTGAAGAAAAGTATGTTACCAGTTGCTTCTGATTTTGAMGTTATCCTGAGTTAAGAGCTGAGTCTGATCTTCCCAATAAACGCATGAAACAGATGAGAGCAGCAGAACCTTGCCACCAATGAGAAATAGACTACTGAGCACCTGAACTTTACAGRATGTATAATCACACCACTTTCAGAACCAAAATGCTCCTGACTGCTACCTGCCAGCTGTACAAAATAGCTCTAAGGATTAGTTAACATGTAATTTTCAAAATACATTAGAGTACCGGTTAATATTAATAGCAATTATTATCTATGTGGGTAAAGTCCTTACTAATTGAGGCTTTGACTATCAGCTCCACAGACACCCACTCTTGGTTCTTGCTGATGTGCCACAATGCTTCAGGCAAATAACTGATTCTTTGTTTGCCATCAGTTGTAGTTACAACAATGTTCTTTTTTTATTGTGAGGCACTGTTATTTCCTCATTAGGGAGACATTTTTTCCCAAATACAGTCCTGTTAACTCTTGGCAGCTATGAGAACCTCTCAGCTGTTGCATTTTCCTGTATTGTCCAGAGCACCAAGCAAAAAACAGAAAAAAAAAAAAATCACCATTCACATTGTGCTATGTACTTGAGCACATAAACTTCCAGTACTTGTTCTGGAGACTTTTCTTACCAGATCAGTGTTTACTCCTACTCTTTGATACATCTAATGGTTTTAGTTATGTCTTACACAGTATTGTCAAACTTATTTATTGRGCCACGTCTTTGTTTTGCAACTGATTTGTATAAAACCTGTCATTGACTGTTAACAAGGGGATGAAAAAGAATCTACCAGACTGATAAGCTTTTAGACCACTTGACAGACTTCATGAACTCATCCTAATAATTCTTTGAGTTCCAGCTTCAAGAATTCTGAATATTCACTAGTTACTTTGTTTTGCAAAGGACTTCAATTAGAAACCATGTGACTTTCACACCTTCCATGTTCCAAGGCTTCCTTCTTGTTAGCATAAGTAATCAGTTTCTTTTTAAGAGAATCTTGAAAATATGCTTGAAAGTTTTCATTCTTCCTTCAAGGCATCTCCTTTGCAAGAAATAACTTTCAGTTTCTAAAGGCTAACTATCAAGTTTTTGTGTTACAGTATTTTGAATCTCAAATATATTCTTAATTCTTACATGGTACTAAGTCATAAAAGATAAAATGTTTAGAGACATAGATAAGGGAGTTGTAATACTTCTAAAAATAATCCTAAAGCAGTCCAAAACTATATAACTTTATGCTATTACRAATAATCTATCATTTTTGTAGATTGTACATGTTTAAAAACACACAGAACAGCAATTATAAAATAGTTGCTGAAGCATCAAACCACCATTGTGCATGTTGTTAAAACAAACAGTTCAAGATTGCCAAAAGTTCTTCTCTTAAGAATTACTCTAGTGCATCATTTATAAACAAAAATTGGCATATTGCAATAATGGCACCTGTTAAATCAAAAAGTAGAGAAAATAGTATTCAAGAGAATTAAAAAATTCTAGCCTTAAGCCTTGCAAGAAAACAACATTTTATCAGAGGGACTTGGTGACACCATCACTCATTATAAACTGAAGTTCTCATAGATGCATGAAAGATGGCATGTGTATAAAGGAAGTCATAAAAATAGACCAGAGGGTGTCCTTGTTAACATTTCTTTCTATGAATGAACTTCAAAAACAGGTCTTGAACACAGAGATTGAAGGGCCAAGGATGTAGATATACTCTACCGTCTATGCTGCACATGGCCTTATAATTGCAGTTTTAAGCCAACAAACATATGTAGCCAGGTGAAACCTTTAAGTAGTACAAGCAGGCTGTACTAAATAAAATTTTTGAATGAATGGTAAACTGACCAGTTTGCTGCATTATTTTTTCCCATTATAAGTCCAAGAGACCTGAAGACAATGAAGTGACAAAACTGAATGGATAACTATTAATTTTACAATGGAGAAGCAAAGTTATTATTTTCTACAGTTATTATTTTCTACAGTTATTATTTTCTACAATGAAGGAGACTGACTGCCATTTCTTCCCCCCTAAAACTCCATGTTTAGAGGAGATGCAGTTCACAAACATGTCCTACCCCACAAAAATCCAACCTTTAAAAACCCATTGTATTCTTTGCCTAGAATGTAATGAAAGATAAGCGGAAATAAGTTGCCTAAATAAATGGCTTATAGTCTCATAAATAAAACTGTCTTGAGCTGATGAGGCCAAAATCTTTTGCCTTCCAACTAAAAATGTGCATCGTTGGTGGTSATGTATTGGAGACYGTTTCATTAGCATGGGCTGAGGTGACAAGCAGAGATAAAGATGGCCTGGTAACACCAATTACTTTGAATCTCCTGCAAATTAGAGATGGATTTATTGTATGATGAGAGCTATGAATTAAAGAACTCCATTATACATAGTTTCTGGTTCTATCCACCCATCTTATTTCAAGAATCCAATCTCCACTACAGCTTTCATTAGTCCATTTGTCCTAGGGCCTTCACATGTTCAGAGTTCCTTTAATAGTTCTCTACCAATTTGACCTCCAATCTGGAAAACCTTCCCCTCCTATCTTCAGGCATGGATCCTTTCTTGTACAACCACTAGGAAGTAGCAATTTAAGCCAAATTCCAGGGTAAAGAGACAATGGCTTGCTCTAGGAAAGGCTTAAAGGAAGAGATGCATTCCCCAGGCACGTACAGGCATATCAGGCAGGATATGGTGAACTCAAGCCCCAGTACTTCTTGCTTACAAGAAAATGCCAAGGCATACATTGCACTATCAGAAACAAATTTTTATTTTTTTCCTCAGCCTTTTCTGATTTCTCATTAACTGCAGGCACCCGCTAAAGCTGTAATTTTCACGGCATTAGCTAGAAGCAAGCACATAGCTTCCCACTCTTCCAATTGAAGGCAATSCTAACCACCAAATTTATACCACTTTCAAGGTCAGAGTTGCCTACCAGACCCTGTCTCAGTCCTGATACAGAAAAGTATTTTTTTAAGCAACAGAGATAATTTTTTTTTTTAGGAAATTCTGACGACGCATCTTTAGCAAGCGGCTAACAAATTTGCGGGTACCATACGTACAGTTCGAGCTAGGCACGAACAGACAAAAGCTTTTTTCTACCCTTTGCCAAGAGCACGAGCAGGCCCCACTGCCAGCCCAACCCCGCCGGGATCGCACCGCCCTGCCGGGGGAGTGCCGGGTCACGCTCCGCGCACGCGCACTGGCCCCGTGCCGCCGCGCGCGCTTCCGGGTCACGGCGGCCATGGAGGCCGGGCAGGGACCCGGCCCCGGTGGCGACACGGTSCAGGTAACTGCGCTGGCTCGGCGTCACTGCCGCGGGGAAACCCGGCGGGGCTGGGGGCGGCTCTGCGGGGGTGCGAGGGAAAGGGGATTCCTGTCAGCCGCTCGGCCTCCCCTGCCCTGAGCTCCCTGCGGGGACGGTGCCCTTGAGGCCTCTCGGGGGCCGGGTGGGRGGTTCTGGCAGGAGGTAAGAAGGTGGTCATGTCTGACCGTGAGGCAGCAATGTGCTCACCTCCAGTGGCCTCCTGGCCTGTATCAGCARTGGTGTGGCCTGCAGGACCAGGGAAGTGACCATGCCCCTGTACTCGGCACTGGTGAGGCCGCACCTCAAGTGCTGCGTTCACCATTGGGCTCCTCAGTTCAGGAAGGACATTGAGGTCCTGGAGCGTGACTAGAGTAGGGCAACGGAGCTGCTGAATGGTCTGGAGTACAAGTCTTATGAGGAGTGGCTCGGGGCGTTTAACGTGGAGAAAGGGAGGCTCAGCGAGACCTTATCCCTGTCTACAACTGCCAGAAAGGATTTTGTAACCAGGTGGGGATCGGCCTCTTCTCCCAGGTAACCAGCGATATGACAAGAGAACATAGTATTAAGCTGCACCAGGGGAAGGTTGGCTTGGACATTAGAARGAATTTCTTCACAGAAGGAGTCATTAGATATTGGAATGAACGGTGGTGGAGTCACCGTCCCTGGTGGTATTTAAGGAAAGACTAGACATAGCACTTAGTGCCACTGTCTAGTTGGCAAGGTGGTGTTCAGTACTAGATGATCTAGAGGTCTTTTCCAACCTAATTGATTCCGTGATTCTCTGTTCCCCTGGTAAAAATGGCCTTCTAACAGCTGTCCTTCTGTCTGGCCGGTCTCTATCTGRCAGCACGGCTCTCACGGCGGGAGAGGCTCTGGAACCTCCACACAAACCTCTCACACGCTAGCGAAACAGCTGGTCAGCTCTCGCTAAATTGCATCCCTGTCATTGATACCTTGTGTCATTGAAATCCTGAGAAGTACTTGAAAAAGGCTCTTAATGAGCTGTCAGATTTCAGCTCTTTGGGAAGCTGGTTGAAGGGACCAAATCATGCTTTTCTCTAGTAAAAAGACTGAACTGAGTTGTGATCTGACTATGCATAAAGTATTTTCTGCCCTCTCATGTGATTTTTAGATGAACTGGATTTTTTAAATTATATATTTCATGTGACATAGACAAAAGGCACTACAGAAACTACAAGATGTGAGAGTTAGACGTTATGTTTTTTGATTGAAAAATGCTCAACTGTTTTTTCATCCATTCTTTTCTAATTTGTTTCCTCAATGAAAGAGGGAAATACCTAAGCCTTATGTTCCGACAGAGGAGGARAGAAGACTCCTCAAGGAGTGTGCTGAAGAGAGTTTCCGGTACAGAGGTAAGGTTGCTTTGCTGGTAGACTTGGCTGCTTCTCTTACACCTTTAGCTTTTGCTGTTACCTGCGGCATTGCGAAGGCCTGGGTCAGTATAGCACCAACAGTGCATTAACAAGCTTCACATGTTCTAGAACTGCATCTCAGTAAATGCTTGTCAATCTAGTGTTTATCTTTACTAAGAGTTTGCAGAACAGGAGTTTCATAAAAGGTGCATCATAATGTCTATGTTTCATGCTTTATAACAAGTTCTCTTAATATTTTAAGTTAATGTGTTTATTGAAAGTGTGAAAATAGATCCATTTAATGAGTCTCGTTTATATTACTAAATTTTCTCATTTGTTATTTCTTCATTGTTATTTTCAATTTTTATTGTTGTCTTTAGAATGCAAGAATAAAATAGTTTAACTTATAACCATTGCTTCTTATCTTTATAGAGACTTCTGAAGAGAACAGTATATAAGTAGTCGCTTGGTTCAACTTTTGGAGAAAATTGCTGTACCTGTACATAGCCAGATGTTTGGGCATAGTTTGTGTAATCCAAAGGTTCAATGCATACTTGTTTTTTGTATACCTGGTCACAAGGTTTGAACAAGCCTTCTGATGTAATGGTCACCTGTTGTTTTTTCACACACCAGTAGGTTATTCGTGATGCTGGTAGGTGGCTTGGCAAAAACCAGGACAGATGAAGAATTTAGCAGCTGGTTTGCTAATTTTAGCACACTGGGGCTCTGATTTCTCATGGAAGCCACTACTTTCAGGGGGAGTTCCTAAGACATTGTGATTCTGAATTAATGATTCAAAGTTCTGCTTTGTCATTCTCCATTGCTTTGGCATTCTCCTCATCCACTTTTACAYAAATACTTGGAAATCTTCAGCATATTTGCTAAAATGTAGCGATTTTCTGTATAATTTTATAAGTGAAAAGAGGCCAGGTCCATTAGTGGTACAATGATTTGTTATGGTTTATTGATAATTTCTCTTCTSGAAGACAAAGCGGGGAGAGAGTTGTTTGTTGTTCCTGAGCTGTTCTGCTGCTTGGCAGTGTAGCTCATTGCCCTGTGCATCTTTATACACTGAAGAAACAACATTTAGGTATTATTTGAAAGCCCTAAATTTGTTTCTTGAGTAATTTCTCTTTAGGGAGCTACAACAGTAACAGATTTTTTTTTTTCAGGGGTTGTGTACTGTGGTATTAYCTCGCTGGGAGAGCCTAAAGGCCATCACTGTATTCTGGTTCTCCTGTCTTCGTTTCCTTGTTCTGCATACACATACTAGACTGTTGTATTCACTGTATTAAATACGTATTGCTTGAACTCCCCTTTGCAAGAGGCTGCCTGTGTGACTGCCCCAAAATCCTCACTTTGTATTGTGTCCGTTTTTGTTATTCACTGGAGTTACTATAAATTTGTGTATTTTCAGTTTGTTTATTCAAATTTCAGACTGTAGCAAATTTTACCCATTCTTAGAAACCTTCTGTCTTTTGACATAGTTTCTCTTGACAGCTTCTGCTGCGAGTCATTTCACAACTCAGTTTAATATATGCTTTACTGGAGTTAGCAATTTGTAATCACATTATCATATCAGTTCTMACACACTTAAAAATTCGCACTACAATCTACAACTTTATCTTTCACCCTTTTAATCTCACCAATAAAATCAAATCAAATTGATACAATTTTTCCCCATGAAACCATTTTGACTGGGGTACATTATATTACCATCCTTACATGATAYTGAAATATCAGCCTTCCATTATTTTCCCTAGATTTATTTTGTTTCTGAAGCAGAAAAAGCACTTTTTGCYCATAGCACTGATACTTTCTGATTTATTAAGTTTGTTTTGTTGGTTTTTTTTAACTACAGTTGAAAAATTATTCATATTAATTTTTGTGTATGAATCTAATTTTCATTTCACTACTCTTTTAATTTTTAGTTACCATTTCTGGTCACTTATATACTCACATACTAGTGTAACCTGTCTTTGATATCTGGAATATTTGTTTTGGGCCTATAAATAATTTCAGACTTCTAAGGGTTAGACTGAAATMCTCTGTAATAAGTTCTTTTTAAGTATGTTTCTTAACACACTCTCCCTCCCCTTGGTTTTTTCTTCCTTTTRCAATTTTATTTCAAATCTGTGCTGTCATTCTATAGCTCAGAAAAATCTAGAACAGTAAATTTTGGAAAATCTAGGTCTGGAATCTCTAAAAGCATCAGATTTTTAATATCTAAGAGGTTGGAAGGTTTTATTCTCTATTTTGAAGTGTAATCTTCAAGGAGCCAGTAATTTTTCTTAAAAGTCACATCCAGTTCCATTTACTCTGAGATGCTGGTTGGAATCCTTACCTAGTTTACACCTGTCAGAATTTGTGAGGGAATAAAMTGTTAATTTATGAAGTATTCTTTAAGACTTTGCTCTCCAAAAATATCATTTGTCTTCATATATGAACTGAATTAGCAAACTGTGTGCCTCAAAACACTATAAGATTCTAGTGCTGTTGCAAAAATTTCTGTCCTAGAAGTCATTAAGCATTTTTGTAACATCTATATTTTCTGACATGCATGAAATTAAATTTCATTATGGCGTATCTAARTCTTTAATGTAAATAACTTTAGTCTTGTGTCATGTTCGTTATTTCCTTGTCCCTGTATCTTGTGCAGGGGTAGTGGTCTTTACAAATAGTTGCACAGTAATCTTCCCAATATAATAATTATTGCTTGAAATAAGCATTCCTTTTGTTTTTTGTGATCTCCAAATGCTCATTGCCGCCTAAAGTCTTCAATATAATAAAAATTGACATGAGCTGTTGATTGTGGTAGGCAGTGATGGTCTTCCATAATGTTGTCTTCTCTGCATTCCTGACCCTAACCCCAGGTTGTATAATTTGATATTTAAGCTACAGAAAAAGCTGCCCTGTTTTTTTATTTGCTGGTGAATAAAACATTACCTAATTTTAATGAATCTGATTTCTAGCTCTGTAGGAGTTAATCTTTCCCCATAGTTCTTATGTTAAAATGCCAAGAGTTGTGGTTATCAAAAATTTTTAGAGGCACTGGCCTCTGTATAACTTCCTTCCATCATGAAGAACTGTGTATGCCTCTCTAGCTTAAAATTCTGCACCTTTWTGCTGTAGCAGTTGTAGCTAGACCTGGAGTCTTGTCTGGAGAGCTTTATCCCATCTGATACTGGCTTTTGTATTTGAGGAAGCATGGAGTACAATGCAGGCAGTATGACTCATTAACTAGTACCACATAATTTGTAGTAGATCTTGAAAACTGGAATTGAGAACGTTGGATAGTTTATATACAATTTATATCCTTTTATTCTTATACAAATGAGCTTAGGAAAGCATAGCAACTCTTTTTTATTGCATATTTTGTTGAATGTGATTGAAAATACTGAAAATGGTATTTTAAGCAGCTTTTTTTCTTCTTTACAGCTTTTCCTTTGGCTGCAGTGAGCATGCTTGGTACTAGTGTCTTAATTAGGAAAGGTAAAGTGTAAAAATACWTCAGTTTCATTTGGATTTGCTCAGATGAAATATATTTCTGCTGTTAAGAAAGTTACTATGATAATATAATGTCGAATCAACTTTTAATTAAAAGAAGTTGAGACTGTAGGTACATGATTTACAGTTCCTCAACATAAAGAAGGAGCTGAATTTAAAATCACATTCATGTGCGTATTATGTTGTGTGACAAATGCAGTATCTCACTGATTATGAAACAATGTGTTCTTCAGTGTGCAGGAACATGGATTAAATACAGTTAAAGAGATAATCCCTAAATTTTAAAAATTTTATTGGGAATTCAGATGCTAGGGTTTTTTTTTTTATTTTTCTTTGTCATTAAGTGTAGAAGAGTAACCTGCTACCTACAAACATAACTATAGTTGAGGTTTTTCTATTAATTCTTAAGATCTGTTTACATATATTTTATGTAATATATATCCTAATATCTGATTTCATCTTCATTTTCAGGTGTTCTACGAGATAACTCAAGATTTGGTTCTTTTATTAAAGTTGCATGTAAGTAAAAGTTACAGATAAATTCAGCTTGTATTCATGCTTTATGTTGTGGAATCTCCCATGAGATGTAATTCCCCTGAGACTGGCTGGCTAATTCACTGTGACTCAAGTTGGCAGGGCTCCTTGAGGACCAGAGACACCAAACTCCCTAATCCTAAAAGAGCTACCTAAAACTAAACTCACTAAGCATGTTTTCTAGATGCTCCTTGGGCCCTAACAGGCTTGGTGCTGTGACTGCTTCCCTGGGGAGCCTGTTTCAGTGCCTGACAGCCCTCTCAGTGAAGAACTTTTTCCTAATGCCTAGTGTGAACTTCCCTGATTCAGCTTCTTGCCCCTTGCTGCACCAGAGAGAGGCGACCTTTCAGTACCTGGCTTGGAAAGAGAGAGATTTTATACAGCTGGATAGTGATAGGACAAGGGCCAGTGCTTTTAAACTAAAAGAGGAGACATAAAAGTTGTGTATGCCTCGTTCCTATAAGTGTTCAAGGCCAGGTTGGATGGGGCCTTGAGCAACCAGGTTTAGTGGGGGACATCCCTGCTTATGGCAGCAGAGTTAGATCATCTCTAAGGTCCCTTTGCAACCCAAGCCATTGTATGATTCGGTGATTTATTTACCCTCTGAATTTGTACTGCACATTTTGGACAACTTTTGTTTATAAGCTTTGTATAAAATTGCTTGATAAATGTAACATAATCATTTAAGATAAAAGCATTGTAAATAGATACTGTACAACCTTACTTTAAGTTACTTTGCCAGGGTCCACCCACCCCTCCCTTCCTAATTTGAAGGTCTTTATTCATGTRTCTCATGTGTCCCTTCCAGGCTATTTTAATTACTTTTTTTTCCCCTGGACATTATGTATGTACAATTGTAGGAAAACAGCAATTTCATGTGAATGATTTTTGGATTAAGTATAATCAAAAGTGAATTATTAAATTAATAAATTAACCTTTTCAATGTAATACAGGACAGTAAAACAGGAAGTTGCCATCTTGCCAATCTGTGCAGACACAGCCAGTTTACTTCAGTGGGAAGAGGGTAAACCCCATGATTTGTGGTCAAGGAAGTGTTGTTTAAGCAGATAAATGAATGTGAGAGACTAGGGCTCCCAGTTGTTTATGCAAAATTCTTCTTACTTTCTTTGAACAACGAACAATGGTATAACACAAACATTTCTAATAAATAATAGAACTGTTATTTCCCGATCATTCCTACACATTATGGCCACATTCTTCTTATTTAATATAACTATTTTTTTTAAATCAGGGGAAAAATAAAGTGCTGCTGGGCTGGCCAGAATGTTCTGCCTATAGGAATTACTATACTTTTCTCAGTAGTTTGCTAGGTACTCTGACAATTTACTGAAACTTCTAGTTAGTCATGGGTGATACACTACATTGACAGCATCTCCTTCAACACAGCACAGGGCTATTGGTCCTCTCTGACAAGGAAGGGGAAGATTCATATGTCTATATGTATTTTATGTTAGTCTGCATGGGACCTGGCCATGTCTAATCAGCTTCTGTAAGATCTCTATGTCACAATGAATACAGAAGAAGCAAAGAACAATATCTAATTTAGTGTTCTGACTTCAAAAATGTGGATCATCTGGCTGTTAGTTCTGTAACAAAATGAACCGAATACTGCAGCCAATAATTACTTTGAGTGAAACATCTAACATCTTCTGGAGAGACACTTCCCCTTTTTTGGCTAGAAGGCTTCAAGAAAAAGCGGCTTTCTCTGTGTAATTCATGCAAAAGATTAATTAGCTTTTCTGTTAAGCTTTATTTTGCTAAATATTTAGTTTGAATTCTTCTTAGGCAAATTTAAGGGTTTGTCATTTTTCTCTTGGCACATATTTATTGTTTTTGTGGTGGTTTTTTTTTTAACCTGCTAAACAACTAAATCCTTACGTTCCTAATTGTAAACTTCACTCATAGCTGTGGCTGTTGGCTGTTCTTCTCTTTTCCCTTGGGAAAGGACTTTTAACCTTCTTTTGAAAATAAGACATTACAATTTCAGTACCAGTACAGTAGGTTAGGGAAAAATCCCCTTTTATATTGATTCCCTGGCAATGTAATCTACAGTTGAGAATTGCAGGGGATTAACATTACTCATAATTAAGTCTTTCCTGACTTCAAGATAATTGAGACTCTTTAGTCTATATATTTAGGAAATACTCATTGCACATGAAAGAAGGGCCTAGTTATTTTGTCCTACAAAGTCAACACAAACCTGTTAATTCCAACATAATCCTTCATACTCCACGGATCCAATCATAAAACTTGAAGGAGCCAGTTGATGGAAATCATAAGTTTTAAGCCCAGAAAGAGTTATCTTGGTAATTTATTCTTATGTCCTGTGCAGAAGATGGAAATAGCTCATGCACTAAATTGAAGGCATTTGTCCAGTGATTGCAAGAGTTCAGCTAATTTGGTTGTTTGCCCTCTGGCAGCCAAAACATAGAATCCATTTCAGAAGATACTGAGCCTAATGCTGGGTTTATTTAGACCTCTCTTCATACTAGTGAAAGCCTTTCCAGGATCTGACTGTTCTGATGCATTAAATTATCAGAATTTACTGCCTGTGTTTATTTCTGACTGGTTTATCATCTTTGATAGTTAATTGTGATTTCTGGATCTTGAAAAGWAATTATGCAATTATTTTTCCTTTTTTTGGTCACCTTTCATTCATCAAGTACTAGCTGAAATCATCTGATGTTCCCACCATGTCTAAATCCTTGCTTTATGTCTCTGTTCAGCTGTTGCCCTTGGTTTTAGTACCCGTTGTCTGCAGAAGAAGCAAAGATGATTGCTGCATGATTTTGGTTTAGATCTAAACTGGTTTTCTTTKTTTTATTCAAGATACGATATGATTTATTTGCAATTATCATTTTAAAGCTATGTTGGACATTATAGTACAGCACATAAACCCATATTTTTTTCTTTTTAAAAAGTTGCTGGAATGTGTGGATACCTGGCTGGAAAGATATCCTACTTGCCAATCTGTAGCGAGAAATTTAAGAAACTGAAGGATTCCCCAATAGGAGATGTTCTACGACAAGCTCAGAGACATAGTTCACCTAAGTAAGAATTTAATTATCTTTCAAATTTAAAACATATTCTTGAATAGGGTATTTTAAACACTAACAGATCAATACTACTTTTGCAGCTTTCAAAGACCCTTGAGCTGCACCTTCCCTCATTCCCCATTACCTCAAATGAAGCTGTATTTGTATCAGTTGGCAAGCTATAAAATATGTATTTTGAACTCTTTATATACAACCTATCACTTTAAGGAGTAGAAAAAGAAACATTTTATTTAGCAAACTCTATTCCTTGTAAAATTAAGAGTGTTTCCCATGGAATTTACTTATAGTAGTGTGACAGCACAAGTTGACTCCTTAGTTTAGAAGTAAACTAAATTAACTGAAATAGTGTTACATGCTGGAAGTTTTTCCCATAGTTTAGTGTGATTGAAGTAGGAAAAGGGTGGAAATGATTTCAGTGTTTATCAAAGGAAAGAGCTCAGTAAACAATATCAGTGCAGGAAGAAGTATGGTGCTCAAACTTACTGCTGTTTGTTTAAATCCTTTACATCTGTAACAGCATTATGCTGTACATATGATAAACTCATCAGGTTCTTAAAACTATTTCCTGTTTTCTTCCAGAATGTTTTCTAATTCAACTGTTTTTTAATTGCAAACTGCTTTCAGAATATGTCACTTAAACCCTTGGTTCAAAACTGGGAGAATAGTGTTTGGATAGTGAGTAGTAATCCTCTTATTTATCTGCTGAGATTTGTTAAATGTTTATAAAGGATTTGCTTAAATTCTTAATTATATTATAAATTCAGATTTATGACAGGTTTTATGTTGTCTGCAGGATTTTATTCTGAAAAGTTTGGTTTTATGACATCAAAGCTATTTAGGAATTACCACTTCAGACACTTACTGTGTAGAATCAACTGAATTGGAGTTGGACTTACCCCTTCACCTCCCTCTAACTTCTAATAGGAAATTGTCATGCTCATTAACTATGTTTATATGAGAACTTGTTTAAGTACCATCATCTGCTGCACCAATGAATCCCTTCAACCATTAATTGCCCATTTGTAAAGTTTTATTTCCTAAGTGATAAATTATTTTTCTTTATTGAATGAATAATTTAAATTAATTTCAATTACATTATTATCCATACATGCTACCCTTTAAAGCCAGAAACAGAAATCATTCCTGGGCATTGTATGTCTACTAATTGATGTGCTTTGGTAATTTGATTTGCAGTTAAAAATTTGTAGGGAACTAAAAGATTAGGTAGTTCTTTAAAGCTGTATTTGCATATATTGTAAAAACATAATTGAGGCAATATAATGGCTTCGCTCTGTATATTTATTATGAAAATTAAACAAAGACTAACTCCTAAGTTTTTTCCATAGGAAACTAGAAGCTTAGCAAAAATTAAAAGTAAAAAATTAATAAATACTCTATAGATGTTCTAGTGGCACCAAGTGGTGGCATTCCTGATAGAGGGACCTGTTGCATAGTGACTTGCAAGGACACTCTAAGAATATAGCAAACACTTTAGAATATCTGGCACCTGTTTCCAGAGTATCCTTTATATGAAATTTCCTTTCTCTTCCACGACAATTAATATTTCCTCAGAATTCAGCAACTTGATTGATTTTCATGATTTAATTTCCCCAGGATGACTGTTCATTCTTCTTCTGTTGTTCAGTACTGATCAATTACAGCACCTTCTAATGATGAAGGGTTTTAAATAYCAAATTCATCCTAAAAGGCTTTTAAAATCAACCATAGTTCATACTACCAYTAGTTGCATGGGAACACCCTGTACTATTTGTGTTTGATGTGGAGTGTTTTTGTCTGAGGATTGCTTGGGGGAAAGGATTGTAACTTTTAGTCTTGTAAAGTGCAATATGCTTTGTCTCTTTTCTCTCCTCTTCTGGAGATTTTCAGGTATGAGCTAGCTAAGATTCTGTGAGGAATGGAAGAATATTGGAGAAGTGACCATAGAAATCTTTGCAATGCAAAGAAAGCACCCAAAACATCCCAAACCTTTTTTAAGATTATCAGTTGGAAACTAAACTGTTTAAAATGAAAGAAAATTTTCTTGAACTGCAAGTATTGTTACTMTTATACTTCAATTTTTAACTCTAGTATTTTTGTATTTAATATTTAGTTGTATTCTTTTGCAGCCGCTCCAGTCGGAAATCTGAATTTTCAGACACACCTTCTCAGTCATTTACTGAGTCGTCTTCTCCAGGGGCTGGRTTCTCAGTTCCTTCTGGCTATTCAGATGACTACAGCTCAACAGACAGAGGCCTCTCAAGTTATGAACCCATTCCATTCAGTGCTTCCCTGAATGAATCTTCACCTACAGGGATTACTGATTACACTGTTCAAGGTGAGTCTTAGTATTTAGTAGTTTGTACTGCAAAGATCTTGCCTTTCTTTTAGATACTGCTCTTACTAAACTATGTAAGAGCAGTATCTAAAAGATTCAGACACACATGGCACACRTGGCACAATATAGTGGTTTTGAATGAAAGAACTTACAAGAACTTACAAGAATTAMAAGAACTGTGTTTATAAAGAAGATGAATATAAATTTTACTTTGTGTTGTAACTGTAAAATAAATTTAGGGTTTTCTCATGTTTTCTAGCTCTAATTGCAAGTATAGATCCTGAATTAACTTATAAAGTGTAATCTGCCGTGGAACTAAACATGCCAAAAACTCAGCCTGACTGAAAGTTCTYGTTGACTGAAAGAAGGGTGAATATGCCATCCCTTCACTCTACTGAATGAACCACAGCCTACCAATTGCCTGCTGGCCCTTCCAGTGTGATTGCAGTTTCACCATCCTTTGGGCTGTAACTGTATACTGCTGTAACTCTCTGACAGTAAACTTTTTTAAAAGTTTTTTCATAATGTGACAAACATTTATGTCTCCTGGGAGCTGAATGGATATTGTGTTCTGTCTGCCAGCAGTCTGATTTTCTCACAGATAACTAAAGTGGTTTTTAAGTACCATGCAGCTGTTCCCCTCCTTCCAGTATGAACTGTCCTCAGCTATTGCAGGGGAAACACAGGATTCTGAATTCAGGTGTCTCTGGTACACAAAGGAGAAAGTTACTGTCAAATGCAGAGTTTTGTACTTTGAATTAGTTTGGATTTTTTTCAACTTCCTTATTAAAATTATTTATTTCATTTAAAAAGCCCATTTATGCAACTTGGTTATTATTATCTGAAAGTATCAAATGTAAATGTGTCAAGAAAATGGTTATTGCATTTTATCACATATATCCATAGTTTGTTAAGCCTTTATTATATAACCAAGGTTGTTTATTATAAATAAAGATAAAAGGATCAAACATTTATCAGGCAAGATATGATATTGTCCTAATTCTTTGAAAGCAGAATTTAAAGCCTTAATGCAAACTCTTGTACTTCACTTGGATTTCTCTTCAGAAGTCATATATATCTCAAATGTGTAATTACCATAAACTTTAGATAAAGTGACCAGAACTATTTTATCCATCAATTACCTTATGGTTGTTATAATTTCCATTTGGTAAAATGAAGAAAATTAATTAATTGTCAGTGTTTCAAAGCATTTTGACAAAATTAAAATGATAAAAGGAATGGATTACTTGAAGACCATATACATTCACTGTTGTATTTAGAACTGCAGCTGTCATGCTCCTTTTCATTTGGGAGCAGTAAGTGGTATTCTAGAATATATTTAAGCCAAATTTTGGGGTATTATGCCATATTTAGTATTTTCTGTTTGCTTTGTTTTCAGAACCTGCTCCAGTTCCAGAGGAAGGTCGTAAAAAAAAAGGCATCACATACGAGGAATTAAGGAATAAACACAGAGGGACATCTGATGTAATGCTATCACCAAAGGCAGAAACTCCAAGCAAGTTTTCACAGGAAAAGCCAGCTAAAGAAGGTAATATACTGATTTACAGAAATACTTGCTAAATTCAAATATTTGCCATAATGTTAAAAATGGTTGCAAATACAAAGCTTAATTCTTCATGCCTTTTAAGCAATTTATATTTAGAGTATCTGTAGGCATCTCATGGGTGATACATATGGTCTGCAGCTTCCTATTTCAGATTAATTATTTTTTCAAAAATTTTGGTAATCCAGTASAAAGTTGTAATTCCTTTTCTCTAGCCATATTGCTTGGTGCCAGACTGAAAAGCTCCTAAGTTTTGCTTGATTGAGTCTATTGAGCAACCTCTTTCAACAAAGGAATTCTCTGAGCTCAGAGCTATACCTCAGAGTTTTCGCTATGCGAGGGGGGATGTGTTTTAGATAGCATTGTTCTCTCAAAATAGAGCACATGGTTGATGATTTGAAGGGGAGGGTATTTATTTTTATGAATTGTTTCATGTGGAATTAGTGGATTTCTATAGAGGCATTGTTTGTAGAGGTTCATTTTCTACATTAAAACTCAGAGGAAGGAAACRGTATTTGGCAGCAATATTGAGATTTGTTTTCACAGTGCAAAAGAAAACTTCACAGAGCAAAATAAGAATGCAATGTCTTGAAGAATAAGATGCCATTCAGACAACTTTTTGACTCAATTTTTTGAAAAGGAGACACAAAAGCAATTCATAATTGCTTGCTTTAGAACCTTTTAAATTTCATGTGGCATCTGTGAAAACRATTGTAGCAAGAGGAATGTTTTACCATTTAGCACACTGCTGGACTGGTCACCTTGAATTGTTTGGGTTTKTGTGCAGTGCCCAGCCTTGTCAGCCATGTTGCAACAAGACTTGCAGGAATCGCTATTGTCTTCTTTTAGACATAACGGGTGGGAATAAGTATAGAGAAGAGTATTAAAGCATAAAATTCTGAATCAGTAATACTAAGCTTTGGAACAGTGTTGCTTAAGGGTGTCAGTTTATTTGATGCTTGTCARTTACTTTCTTCAGATCTATCTTAGGACAGATCTGCAGTCTTGAAAGAAAAATTATAAACAATTTTTGTGTAAAGATTTTAATCTTATGTCAAGGATAAAAGGCTTTTTGTCCTATGATGTGACTGTGCCAGATGAGACATGAAAAAATTATTGAAGCTGTGGTTTCAGATTGCTTTTAAATTCCATCAGCTGGCACTTCATGGATTTACACAATGTGCTTTTTCAGGATACTTCTCCACAAATKGAAAGCCTAGAAATGTCACTTGGAAACCATACACAAAAATGTTAAGCAGCATTCTGAAATTCTTGCTGTGTTCCACGGCAAATGTTGTGTCTGTGAAATGAGAATACGCATTTGTTACTTTATTTTTAGTTACTTGAGGTCTCTAAAAGACCTCTATAAAATGTKGATCAAATATTGCATTCTTTCTATWATATTTCTGTGTTCTGTTTGAAGGCTTTACTTGGGCTTTGAGAATAAAACTGAGCATGAATCTGTAAATAGACTTTTTAAAGTATCTCTTTGCATACTTTAAAAAATGAAAAAGAGTAAAGAGGTAATACAAAAATTCAGGAATGGTTTACACATGCAAGCACATTTAAATCTGCAGTTCAAGGATTACACTACGGGCTAAGATCCGTTTTAGCTTCTTATGTTATACTGGACATATTACTTGCTGTGTGCCTGTTCATACTTTCTGAGTCACTACCCCTTGGTTCATCCTCTTATTTCTGAGCCCCAAGCAAATAGGGGAGAGTGATTTCTGCCTTCCCTTGTAAAGACAGAAGGGAAACCAAACCACGTTTAAACTAGCTTTAAGCAATCCCTAACTTCCATCTGCCAGTGCCTTCTCCCTTCCTTGTAGCAGCACAAATACGTGCATCTGCATAGTGATCTAGACTGGCCCATTTTTCMGGGAATGAGTGCAGCCTGTTCAGCTGCCATGGTTAATAGAAATGGAAATCAAATTGTACTTTGAGAGAGCTTCTCATTGTTTCTCACTGCAGTATCAGTCACTCCAAAGAGATTTCAGGGCATTATGCTCAGTTTGCTGATAGCTCACTGAGACAAGGACCAGACATTTTGCTCTATTCCACTTATTCTGCCACATAGTTAGTGATACACAGCTTACTAATTAACTTGCAAGTAGATTTATAAAGGGGTGCCTGGCTAGTGCCAGCATTCCTACTGAATGAAATAGAGCCATTCTTAACCTTTTCAGTGATGGCAGTCAATTTACAGAGGACTTTGCAGATCACTTCCAAGAGAGCCTATTTTCACTTTCTGGTTGTTGTTCAGTTACAGTGACACACTTCTGAACAAAGCCATTAGACTAGTACCATGTTTTTTTCCCTCTCTGACTCACTTCTRTGGTAAAGGAAGCTGCCAAATAATAATTGTTGAGTAGTTTCCTAGAAGGGATTACTGATTTCTATTTGTTTGTCTTTAAACAGTGTTTTTAACTATCCGGAATCCATCCAACTGTGCACGTAATCAGATTATGTAGCCTCATTATTTATTGTAGCATTCCTTGCCTGTTTCCTCCAATTGTTTTTGTTTCATCCACATGTTACATTTATTTCAAAGTAATTACAAATTCTGTAGAGCAGAAATTAGCACAGTAGGCCTCTTGACTGAATATTAATTTGTAAGGTAAAATGATTAGCAAACTCTTCTCCCTATTTATTCAAAAGTAGCTTTAATTAGATGTCYGTTGTGCTGTGACTGACACTCTCCCCAAAATCACTTCAGATGATAGTGACTTTATTATACTTTTTTGCACTGTATATGATAAACTTTTGCAGTTAATTTATCACATGATTACTTATGTTTTTTTCTTTTCTTTTCTGTAGTTAAAGTAAATAAATATGGAGATACCTGGGATGAGTAAGAGTCAAATGAAGAACTGAAGAAAATTACCTCCTGTCAGCTAACTTAAACTTCATCTAGATTAGTCTTGAGTTTCGGCACCTTTGGTGTGCTCTGCCAGACACAGCTGTTAGTAAATGAGGAAAAAATCCTGACTTGCCAGAAGATTAAAAAATGTATTTATGCTTATTTTTTTTTTAATTTTGCATAAATGGAAAACAAGGCTATTGTGAGGTGTCACGACTATAAGCCATTTGTGTTGCTGTTTAAGAGTGAAAAGGGTAACTGGTAATATGACCGTATAGCAAAACCACATGTAAATAAATGCAATCCCGTGTATTGAGAAGTGGAGAATATCAGAATCTTCTCAAAATTTCAAGACTTGCATTAAAGGTACCTGTAAATTCACCTCTCACTTTGTTTTGTCTGAAAGTGATATGTTGGGAACTTGGAATTGTTGTCATGCTTTGTTTGTAATGTCAGGGATACTACTAAACTACTGAGGGGGGAAGGGCTGAGGAGCTGACCCAGACACAGAATCAACCATGACTCCTTCAAAACTGTTTCATGGTGCCACCTGTTTTTTTAGACTGATACTCTTGACTTAGCCACAATGGATTTCTACAGACAAGCATTTCTGAAGGAAATGATTGAATAAAACTGCAGGTATTGAAAGCAGCTACGTTTAAGTGCAGAAGGCTAAACCTGACAAACTTTGGTGAAAGCCTGAATGATGTTTTGTTATTGTTTGGCTCTGTATATTTGACCTTATTTCTCAATTTTTACAAGTCATGACAAAACCCCCATGTTTATGGAGAAGGCATGCCAATCAATGGAATATTTTGTTATTATTACCTGTAAGAAAAGAGCTACATTGGGAAAACTGTGAAGAATATTTCCTGGTATTTGTATCACCTGCTCTGTCTCAATCAAAATGTTGCTTTCATTTAGGGATTTTCATGTTCTCACCTCTGCAGTTTTGTGTCACAGCATTGTGTTTATTGGGGTGTTTGGGCTATAAGGGAGGACAAACCATTATGAAGTTGGTAGCATAAAAGCCTTCCTGACACCCTTGTTGGAGTTAAAAGCAACTTGCCTACCAATTCTCAAAGACCTTATTGATTTAGTGGACTTGCAGCAGAACAGCATAAATAAGTAGATAATTAGGAGGAAGTTGCAAATGGCTGAAATGAGGAGGAAAAAGAGGAGAAAGAGGAGAATGCTTAAAGAGCCAAATACTACTTAAAATAATCAAAACAGAAAGATTGTTTTCAAAAGAGCTAATCTTCTAAAAAAATTAATGTGCTAATTGGATAATCTTGAAGTTGTTTTAGAAATTTACCTTGTAGAGGATGCTTCTCATGGCTGTGATGAGCAAACTCTGAAAATACAGTCTGTCACAACTGCATTGCTGTGGTTTTCAGTGCGCAATTCCAAAGCTGATTAGCTTTACCATGAAAATATTCACAACGTTTCTTAGTTGTTAGTTAAGCAAGTAACAGGAGGCAAAAGATGGAGATGATAATACTGGAGCAGATTCCTATGATTCCCATAAAATGTCTTGCCTCACATTAATATTTTTGGGTGGACGAGCAGAGTGTTTTATATAAATCGGATTAAAATTTTTCTTCTTTTCTTAGAGGAGAAAATAAAAGGCATGTCAATTAATGTTGTTCTGCTTGAGGTAACATGTATGGATAGGATTTTTTTATTCAATTTAAAGCTTTCATTCTGTTTCATCTAGTTACTATCTCTCAGAGAACATACTTTTTTGGGGAACAAGTTTGGTTTGCCATCAATCAATTTAAAATTCTTTGGCTTTCATCACATCCTTGACATATATTAAATATAGGAGAGTTCACATTCATAGCTGTTAATTTAATAGAACACTAGGTACTGATGTTTTGTCAAAGTTGGGTCACATTCAGTTTGTTGTGACAACATGTATGTTGAGCCTGATTCACTAAACAGCCATGGGAATTCAATCTTCTTCCTTTCCTTTTCCTGCTCCATTAGTATCCCCTTGTTTCAGAGTGGGCCTTTACAGTCTCATGKTTTCATAGCAGCTCCCCAGTCACCAATGAGTACTTTGCTTATATGGTACTTTCATCACTTTTGGGAACTTTTAACTGAGTCCAAGTATGTTGGAGCTGGTGGCATGGTTGCTGTTGCTGGAAGCAATGAGACTAGATTTAAAGAACAATGGTTTTAAAAATACTTAAAGTTTTCCTATGAGCCATCATACTTGTATATTTGTCAATAACTGAGAATTAAGTCAGTGTTTTTGGTAAAGCTAAGTAAATTTTCTTCCTCAAAAATAACATTAAATAAATAACTCTTATACCTTAAATCAAACACCAGKAAAGGAATCTGAATACTTCATTATGGATGTTTCTTTAAAAAACCCTGTAAAATAACTGTTTTCACAATTTCTTAAAAATAAGCAGGTTAATTAAAAGGAGCTGGGTGGCATCATCCCCAAGTCTCCAAGTTAGTTACTAATGTGCATGAGCAGAGAGAGCAGAGTTGCAAAAATGTGCCTTAGCTATTTTATAGTTGCTAAAGATCCAGCAAAAATCCTGTTCCTGAATGCTTATGTGTTTCCCCAAATTAGTAGGCGTATTTGGAACCCCAAGTAAGTATTAATCTGACCTTTCTCATTTTTTTTTTCTGACTAAAGTTGTTTGGAACACAGCTACATGAAAGAGGAAAGTGTAAGTGAAAAGTTATTTGATTTGATTTGATTTGATTTGATTTGATTTGATTCGATTTTATTTGATTTGCTTAATGAAAGCTAAGCAGATTTGTGGAAACCTGGGGAAATCATTAATATTCCAGACTGAATCCACAATTTCCTTGCCTCCTTGACATTCAGGAAGAAATCTTCACTTGTCCACTCTTTGCTRGAAACTAAAAGTCCTTTTTGTTCTCCTCATGGTGTACTCTTGTTTGTGATCTGAGTGAGGGCCTTGCCCAGCTGTAGGAGGCATGTCCAGCTCARTTCCTTGGCTCGCACAAACACACCAGACCTGCCATAAGAAGGCTTTGTTTGCAGCCCAGTCTTCCTGATTCACAACCAGAATAAATTGTCTGTAATCTCTTACATGAAACAGRAGGCCTTACAAACCCCTTTATTTTTTTGCTATTTCATTTCCTATTGTTTGTAGAAATCCACAAATCCTTGGATTTTAGTCTCAAGGCAACAAATGGGACAATTTGCATCCCATTACCGTTTCAGGCTCTTGTCCTGGGTTTGTGCTAGCTCAGTGAACTCAGTGCAGCTTGAACACAGATATGCCTTGAGTTTATACTTTCGAGTATTTGTTTTGAGGTAAGAACCAGACATGAACCACCAGCACCATACAAAAGTTTGGAGGCATCTTTGAGTACCTGCATTAGAACCTGAACCAAGGAATAGCAGGGAGTCTTAATGTGAATGACCTTGGCCAGAGTACGGATTTCCAGCTCAAAAAACCATCAAGTGTTCTTTCTTTCCAAATAATGAAGGAAATGAGCAACCAGTATTTTTATTTAATGAAAGTCAAGCAATACAGCAAAACCAGAAATGTATAACTGTTCGGGTTATAAGACATGCTGAAAAATAAACAGGTTCTGGTATCSAACAGCTATTGAGAGAGCTGCCAGAGAGTAGATAATCTTTTAGGAACATAAATAGTATGCATATACTTCAGATAAATGAAAACTATATAAAAGAATCAGTAAAAAGCAATCATGATYTGAAATATTTGTTTTTTCTCTTTAACACTAATGAATACCAAGTACTATGCTACTTTAATATATTAGTGTTTTAATACTTACTGCATTTACTCATTTTTACTAAGTTGCTGTTAATCTTTTGATTGAGCAGTACAAAATTTCCTGAGATTTTAAGATAAATGGCAGAATGGTAATACATAGTTTCATCATAAGGTCATGTCTTCTGTCTAGCAGAAGTATATCTTTGCAAAAATAAAAGGCAAGAGCCTGGTATGAGCTACTTTCATAATGTGATGCTGCAGTAAACAAAGGATGTATGATAAAGGCACTGCTTGATCATCTGATACAGTGGATACTCAATCAAATCCAATTTTCACTTAGCCTTGAAAGGAGAAAAAATCTTAAAATGAAGGAGAAATGGAGAGTTAGAGTTCCTTTGCCAAGACTTGAAGTAAATTATTAGGGATTAAAAATCCATAGTGTTTGACCTTTGTGTTGCTGTTTTTCTAGTTGCTCACTGATGATGTAGGGTTCCATTTTCAGGATGTGGAATCTTCAATGAACAGCTTCTAAATCCTGAAATTTTCAATTCCTTCCTTACATGGAATGATACGCATTTTTTTCTACTCTCATTAACCCATAGAGGAAGCACATTTCTAGTGCATTCGATTTTTATTTTAATTATGAAGCTAAAATTAGTTTCTATATAATCTAATGCCAAAATAAATAATTTTGTTTGGCTTAATTCTGTACTTTAAATACAATTTTTAATCTTAACTATTTTAGGATAACTAGCTTTTTAAAACAGTGCAGCTGATACAGGTGAGGGTGAATTTGGTTGCAGTAGCTGATGCCTAAACATCCATGATAGATTATTAACAATGTCAAAATAATTTTAGCTGTGGTAAGTAGATACATTTCTGCTSGTACAGCGTCATGCAGTGTGTTTTTGCTTGAAGCCTTAAGTGTGTTTTTAGGGTCCCGTGAAGATTTTATGAAAGACTGCACTTGTTTTTCCTCACTGCCCCTCTACGTACCAGAGAGCGTGCAGCTGCCAGCCCGCTTTGCCGCTGCACTGCTGCGGGAGCCAGGGGCGAGCAGGGAGCCTTTCCAGCCCGCGAGAGCTGCCGCTGTGCCGGGAGAAGCAGAGCAGCGTGGAAGGGCAGAATGCAGGCTGGTGGAGCAGCTGTCTGACAAGCATCGGCCGCCTGCCAGAGCTGCCAGCTGTGCAGCAGCACGGGGTGCAACCCGCGAGATACGGGCGGGCTCCGTGCCTGGCACGGGCAGAGCAGCGCCTGAGGTTACTACAATCTATGGGATCTGTGGAGCTGATCAGCAGAATGGGAGTGAGTAAATGGCAAGCATTTGCTGCTGGGAAAGGTTCCCTGTTTTTATTTGCAGTATTACAGATGCGACAGTGTAGAAGGAAGTAAGCTTGGGCATGTCCAGCCGAGCCCTGGCAGACCCCAGCCTCCAGCTGGCTGAGCGAAGGTTTAAAATGTGCCTCTGGCAGGAAGTATTAAAGACCTTTCTTGCTCTGCAATACCTGAGCTTGCTGGTGTGTCTGAGCACATGCTGCAGAATGCTCAAAATGCACACAAGTGAGAAGAAACACTTAAAAGTCAAAGTGTCACTGCTCTCAAAAAGTCCGTATGTCAAAGACAATGGGAAAAACATCCATTACCACCCTT